TTACTAAGGCGAATCTTTTATATATACATGAATAGTGAAGAGTACTTATCATCATTTTTGACAATCGATTGGCATTAATCGATGGATTAAGTTTATGAATAATATGAGTCAGTCTATTCTTTAGTATATGTTCTTTTGCATCAATTCAAATCATAACGGAAAAAAATTGAATAGTTGATGTTTGATGACGACGACTCATAATCTTAATAGCTACCTTACTTTTTCTTTCTCTTCTTCTTTCATACTGATCGAGCTCGTGTTTGCGCGTGTTTATGTTTGTGTGCATACTTGAAATATGGTAAGTTGTCGATTTTTAGAAGAAAAAAAAAAAACTTTGCTTATCAATTTTGTATTTCTATTTTTATATTTAGCGTTTACGTGATCTATTTCGTAGTCAATCAAATAATGAACGAAAATTAACTTCATCTATATTACCAGTACTTGATGCAAATACTTTTATAAATGCTATTTACGATAAAGATAATGATACATTACATAAATGTCTTGTTGCAGGTTAATGATAATGATTAATTGATATTTGAATTTAATAAATTTTTAATATAATTATTTTTAGGTTTTTCACCAGATCAACCAGATCCAGTGACAAAAGCAACTCCATTACATATTGCTGTTGAAACAGCTAATGTACGTGCGATACATATGTTACTACAAGCTGGAGCACAAGTCAATCTATGTGATTTAAGTTTATCAACACCACTTCATATAGCTGCTTATATGGGATATGAAGAAGTGAGATATAATTTATTAAATAAAAAAAAAAAGAACAGAAATATAGTATCATCATTGCTAGATAAATAGATTGTACAGATACTTTTGATGCATGGTGCTGATATGTTTAAACAAGATAATACTGGTCGCAATTCATTTCATTTAGCTGTATCAACTGGAAATAATCGATTAATTCAACATTTTCTTTCGACTACAAGTACTGAACAGTATATAATTCATATGCCAGATGCGTAAGTATTTTATTTTGATTTTCCGAAGATTTTCAAAAAAATAAAATTGCTTTTTTTTTTTTTTTTTCTTCAGTCAAAATTGGACACCACTCATGTGTGCTTGTGCTAGTAATCATCCATCTACTTGTGCTCTTCTATTATCACATGGTGCATATCTATGCGCTATGAATAATCGAGGTATGACCGTCCTTCATATTGCTGCATTTCTTGGTTCATTACCTATTATTTATGAACTACTTAATTCATCTATTGATGATGAAATAATTCTTAAATTACTCAATCAAGGTGACTATAGAAATCAAACACCATTATTTTATGCTTGTATGGAAGGTCATGTTGATATTGCATTAACTTTAATTCATGCCGGTGCTAATGCTTATCATTTAGATAATGACAATCAAACATGTTTACATGCAATGTTATCTTCAAGTATTATTTTAAAACGTCATATACGTTTATTTTATCGTTTTATTGAATATGTTAATTTTCGTTTTCATCAAGATCATCTTAGTCGTACATTACTTGATCTTGCTTATATAAATCAATTAAATACAATTATTTATTTATTAAAATTACTTCATTATAAACATAATTATAATATTATTTCTAATTATGAATTATCATATAATAATTTATCAAAAAATATTCTTTCACTTCGTCAAATATGTATACTTAAATTTAAACGTTCAATTATTTATCATCAAAATCAAAAACAATTAACACAACATGATTTATTAGAATATGCTTTACAACAATGTTTTCATATAAATTTTCATGAAAATATTAATTTAAATGAATTATTTTCAAGAAAATCATTAGATGATATATCATTAATAAATAAAAAAACAAAAAAATCACGAAAAACTTCAAATATATGTTTATCAATACAAAATAATATTGAACAACCAATACAACATACACAATCAAATTGGTCAATATTTACAAATAAATTTAAATATCAACGAACATTAAATTTACAACATGAAACAATTATTTTATCAACAAGTTTACCACAATCATCATTATTATCAATTAATAATCATCCAATGAAAAATTTAGCTTTAATTATATTAAAATCATCAACAAAAATTGATGAATTACTTGATTTTCCTTCATTAATTAATAATCATTTACTTTATGATGATATGAAAAAAGCAATGAATACATATAATCTTGACGGAATTGATTCATCTAATCAAATATAATTCTATTTATTTATTTTATTAATCATAAAAGAGAATAAAAAAAAAAAAAAAAAAACAGAAAAACAATACGATGAGTAATAATTTTGAAGTCATAAATAGTAACTAAATTACTTCGTTATTACTTAACTTTTTATTTTCTTCATAGAGCAAAGTATGTAGGCACATAATTGCACTATTTTAAAACATCATACAAAATATCAAAAATTAATTAATCTAAAAAAAAAAGTAGTACTTATACATAATTTACAATAAGAGCAATAAAATCATGATTCGAACAACCAATCGAAAATTTTTGTTTTTTGTATATTGTAATATATCCAATGCATTTTACTATTAATGTACTTTTCTGTTAATATAGATTTATACTGAAAAAGCCATTGTATATTTAGCAACACATTAGTATCTTTTCTATTTTGAAGAAATAAAATGTCTATATAATTTAGTTGCTCATTATATCACATCAACAAAGTGATAATCTTCAACTTTTCGATAAAGCAAAAAATATCCTTTTTCAATTAGAATGTGTTTGCATATCTAATAAGATTATATTCAAATTATCTATTGTGATATTTCATTGGTAGTCGCAATCTTTTTCTTTCTTTTTTTTTTTTAAATTAATACTCAAAATTTAAGGAAAAGTATATGATTTATTATGTTCTTCAAAGAACTATTCATTATCTTCTTTTGTAGCAATGACTAAATTATTTTTCTGTTTGATAATTACAAGAATATGCAAAGAGAAATGGAAAAACCTTCGAGTCATAAAGTAGAACATGATTGCTTATAATAGGTTTGTAATCAAATCAGGCATATAAATGCATATGTCAAAAATTATTTATAGAGTAATGTATTCTTTCATTGTCTTTTTCTTTATAGATTGCTCATTTTTAAAGAAAAAGGAAGAAAATATGAATATAAATATAGAAAGTTAATGAAAAGACTTTATTTAGATAAAAAAAAATACTTTTGTGCAAATCATTAGATTGAAATAGTTAGTAAGGAAACCTCGAATTTTATCACATTTTTTAAATTGTATTTTGTTTTTTTTTTGAAGTATACTTAACATTTATTCATAATTATTGATTGGAAGAATTGATCATCATAAAAAATTCTATACATCGCATGATATGTTAATGAATATATATTTCAAATATTGGCCCTTTTTTCTTATTTATTCTTATCTTCACATACAAATGTTCATGTCATCTTTTACAATTTGCTTTATTAGTTTTTTTTCTAATCTTTATTACCATAGATAGCTAATACATCTTTGATAATAACATCCGTTATATTATTTGAAAGCATTGTGCATCAGTCGACTCAATTTCCGATCTTTTTTATTTTTATCTAATAGTTCTATCAAACAAGGACAAAAATATATTGAAATTTAAACTATGTAGTAGACTATATTATATCGATGCGTTTTTTTTTGTTTCTTGAATATATGAAATTTACGTTCTTAAATTTTATCCTCTGATTAGAAGATAACATTTTAAATTAAGAAGGTTGATTTTTTGTTTTTTTTTTTAAATAGTGATATTAATTTAATCGACAAATGAACGTCAGTCGTTTTTGGTTTGTTAATGAAACAGAAAATATACCGGCTGTGTGGCATTATTGTGCTGGTATATTCTCACTTTTATGTTTAATATTTGGCATAGTAGCAAATGGTTTAGTTATATTTGTATTCATCAAGTAAAATAAAAAGTATTTTAACTTTGATTTATTTATATACATATATATAGAAATGATGTTTTACAAAGACCAAGGAATTATTTTCTTATTAATCTTGCCATTACAGATTTTGGTTTACTTGTAACTAATAATTCAATGCATGTGATTTCATCATTTAACAAAAAATGGATATTCGGACAGATAGGTATATGAGATTTTCATGTTCAAATTCTAATAGAAATTTTGTTCTAATAAAAATAAGAACAACAAGTAAAATAATAATTTCATTTTCTGCCAGGCAATGCAAACAAAAAAAAAAGAAGATTAATGTCAAAATTATTTTAAAAAAATAAAATAATATGTCGAGCATTTTGAAAGTACTGAACATTAAGAAAAAAAATTGTTTTCTTTTATTTTGACAAGAAAATAATTTTATATCATATAAGTCAAATTTTGAAATCTATGAGAAATGTTTATTATTTTTTGATGAATATATTAGCAAATATAACATAGACTAGTCAAAAACTTCTGCCACTTGCACATGTATTTTTGTTTTGCATTTGTATAATGCAAATTTATGCTATTTGTTGTTGACGATGTTCTTTTCATAGCAGTTAAACCTTCTAACAATCGAGTTTTTATATATGAGCGTATGCACTACATTTTCATATGAAAGCAGAAGTAATTAAAAAGTTTACTAAGAATTTCTCTTGATAGATCACTTGTGAAATTTCATATTGGCAGTTTAATACATAATGGATGTTGCTATCAGAATAAGCCAACATAAGGAATAAGGACAAAATTTTAGACAACTATTGTCAGAATTTTTTAACAATCCTATTTAATATATAATCCATTTTGATCTTTCATTCAGAATATTGTGTAAATGTTATAATCTAATAAAATTGATTTGAATAATTAAAATTATATGATAGATATATTAAATTAATATTTATTATTTTAGGTTGCAATTTTTATTCTGTTTGTGGTGGTATATTTGGTCTTACATCAGTTACAACAATGGCAGCTATTGCTTTAACTCGTTTAATAGCTGTTAATGATCCACTCAGTTCATTGACACTTAGTAGTCATTCTACTTTAAGTTAGTTCTTCTAGAGATCTAATATTTGAAATAATAAAGAAATATTTATTTTAAATTAATAGGTTATCTTGTATGTGCATGGATATATGGTTCATTTTGGATTATGCCACCATTAATTGGTTGGAATCGTTTTGTTTTAGAAGGTTTTGGAACATCATGTACATTTGATTATGTATCAAAAGATTTATGGGATCGTTCATTTATTTTGATATTAGTAATCGGTGGTTTTTTTATTCCATTTTTAGTTATTATATTTGCATATAGTTTTATTTTAATTAAATTATGTCAACGTGGACGTCAATTTCCATTACAAAATAAAGATAATCAATATTTAAATAAACAAAATAAAACCGATTATTTTAATCAATTAAATTTACCAAATGAAAATCAAAGTCGTCAGAGAACAAAAACACAACTTTCTTTAAGTGATGATGGTAATATAATACGACATATTCGTCGTACCGAAGCTCGTGCTACACGTACAGCATTACTTATATGTACTGTATTTTGTTCAGCATGGGGACCTTATGCTATAATGGCCTTAATATCTGTACTTGGCTTTGATCATTTAGTAAATGTTTATACAACAGCAATACTTGGCATGTTTACTAAAGTAGCTGCTTGCATCAATCCATTGATATATGCACTTTCATTAAATGGATTTCGAGAACGAATATGTGCATATGTTAAATGTATATATCACTGTAATAAACAATATCATGATCCCTTACTATCACATAGTGTTGAACTTAATCGGAAAAGTCATTTAAATTTATTGGATACTACATTCACTCGCAAACGTACTCAATCTAACCTATAGATCGTTTGAATATCTCAAAAAAATAAAAGAGGAAATTAACTAAACTAAGAAATAAAAACCTATTCTGATGTATTCAATTATTTGAAATAAAAAAAAGAACAGCAACAACAACAACAATAATAATAAATTTTCATGTGTTTTTTTTTTCCTTATATTTATATACAAACAGAAAACACCGGACAAAGAATACAAGAAAAGACAAACATTAACCAATTTCATAATATTGATGATCATCATGTAGATGATGTAAATCAGTTTTATATTTTTTTAATAATTGTTCATTTTGTTCAAGTTTTATTTGTAATGTTATATTTGATGTTGGATAACGAAATGTACTTAATAATCCACTAGGCATACTTGATAAATATTCTGTATTTGTATGAAATGATGATTGATGATCTAATGATAAAATTTGTTTATTTAAATCTGATGAATGTGCTGAACTATAACCACTACTACTTGTATTATAATGTTGATTTGATTTTTCTTCAATATTTGATTTTTTATAAATATTTAAAATTTGATGAATATAAAAATGTTGAATTTGTTTTTTTAATAAACAAATAAAAATAAATATTAATAAACCTTGAAATGAATTTAAAATTGTAAATATATATGAAATAATAATTGGAATTTGTTCATGAAGATGAAATAAACCTATTAACCATGTTAAACCAAATAATATTGATAAGATTGTTATATCACGTAAAGAAAATCTTTAAAGAAAAGAAAAAACAAAATTCATTGAATCATTCATAATTTCCTTTTTTACTTGATTTCTTTTGAAGAATTAGAACTTTTAACATGTTTACAAATTGTATATATTGATATAATAAAAAAACAAATATTAGCCTTTAAAAAACAAAAAAAAAACATTTATTTATTTCAAAGATTTTTACAAAAGAAAACTTACAAGAATAAGAAGAGCAAATGGAATAGCAAATGCCCATATAAATGCATTATCATAAGAAAACCAACAACTAGAATGTAAACATTTATTTTTTATACAAAAAAAAAAAAAGAAAATTTTTTATCTAATGAGGGAACATATTCAACTGTCGGACGCCGTTCGAGCCCATATTTTGCCTACTAGTAGGACTCAGTGAGACTAAGAAAACCCTAAAAGGGTTCGTACCCATGGCGTGATATCAAGTTTTTAGTGAATTTTCTCTGTAGTACCTCACTTTTGCAGCAAAGCTATATTTTCGAATTCTGACTTGAAACTTTGCCTACATAAAGGCCTTAGCTAGACTAGCTTGCATAAAAAATTTCAGAAGTTTTGAACAAAGTCTCTTCGAGATACCAAATTTTCAAAAAATGTATGCTATATATACTATCTATGAAAAAGCGTCTGTGTCTTGATAGTTCGGTATCTCGGAGAGACTTTGTTCAAAACTTCTGAAATTTTTTATGCAAGCTAGTCTAGCTGAGGCCTTTATGTGGGCAAAGTTTCAAGTCAAAATTCGAAAGTATAGATTTGCTGCAAAAGTGAGGTGCTACAGAGAAAATTCACTAAAAACTTAATATCTCTCTAGGAACACGTCATGGGCATGAACCCTTTTAGGGTTTTCTTAGTCTCACTGAGCCCTACTAGTAGCCAAAATATGGGCTCGAACGGCGTCCGACAGTTGGATATGTTCCCTCGTCAGTTTAAAAGAAGAAAAGTTAAACAGTAGTAGTTTTCTTGAGTGTATGTTTCAATTAGAGTACTGCACGGGTGCACTTTTTTCCATCCGAAACCAGACCGGAACTTTTTTCCGTACCCGAGTCCAAACCGACCCGATAACTCCATACCCGGACCCGAGTAGCTCCGCCCGACAGTCGTTTATAAGTATAACACACCCGGCTACCATTTTCACATACAACTAATTTCAAATTTTATTTCATATAAAAAATATACAATCTACTTTAATAAATAAACAACAAAAACACTCATCTGAAATTATGTAAAAGCAAGTGAATCGAATGATTCAGAACTCAATTTGTACGGGCGTAAATCATAAGCACAAAATTTAGCATATGCTTCAGTAAATATACTCTTCACACCAGCTAATATATTACTATTATTATCTCTATTCATCATTATGAGGATGTCTTGGTTTTTGCTTAAATCAGTTTCAGATGATTCATAAGCAAAAATTGACAAACACTCAATACATTGTACAAATGGAATGATATTTTCTTTATCATCTTTTATCCGAATAAACGTTTTCCATCTCTGTGCTGTTGCTAATGCGGGTTTAGAATATGTGTTAAACATACGCTATTCAATATTTTTCTAACATTTTCTTTTTCTTTTTTAGGAGTATTCATATTGAAAATAACTAAAATCAAAACCAGTTAAAACATAATTTTGGGTACCTTGAATCTTGAAAAACAACAGAACAAAAACTTTTTCTCATTTCTATGATTCACTCTTTGATAAAAATGATAATCCAATTGGCTTTAATTCTTATCCCAATATCTTCATAACAATAAATACCAGTTTGAAATAATAAAAATATTTTGAAAAGTTAGGATGTTACTAATTGTCAGTTCGGATCCGGATTTGGGCTCACACTTGGACCCGAACCCATGTTCCGGTTCAGTTCGGTTTCGGATACCCGGCTGGGTTGCAGTACTCTAGTTTCAATGTCGAATATATTAGCAATAGATATGTAACAAAAAATTTTATTATTGATACTAATTACAAATATAGTTCTACCATTTGAGAAATACTTTCCTTCCTTCCTTGCATAATCACTCAAGAACAAGGACATAAATTAATCTTTTAGTAACCTTTGAAAGATTCCACATGGTAATTAGTATTGCTCAATAAACAAAAAAAAAGAAACAAACCAGTATCTTATTTGTTATTGAATGAGAAATATTACTATAATGTTATGATTAATCTAATGAATTTTTGTCAGTAATTTTTATATAATAATAAAAATAAATGTTCTGAAGTTTTGAATAGAATGAAGGCGTTTTATATAGAAGAAAAACAAACAATTTTACGATTGTACGTTATCATATAGAATTTTCAATTAGTTCCATCTTAGATTAACTTACTTTTAATGTAAAATCAACAATACACAATACTGAAAGGAGCAAAGAACTCGATAATGATCGCTTGAAAAAAAAACGAAAATTCTTCAAGATTGAGGCAGAGATGTTACCCCCCCCTCTCACTCAATACATTCCTGGATAACTCACATAATCATAGAAAAATGTTTCTATCTGATTAATTACTAATTATCATTAAGATTTTAATTCAAAATAAAATATCTGCTCTAATCTCCGATTTCACAAAAAATATTCAATTTTAATACATACTGTTTATTCGAATAATGTTCGTGAGTTGAAAGTCCAATAGCAAGAATAACAATAAGTAATGGAAATCCATATGCATATAATGAATAAGCTAATATTCTAATATGATCAATTTTTAAAACATGTTTTAATGCAATTATTAATTCAATTCCATCAACAAACATCCATGAAAATGTTGCAAGAAGAAAATAATGAAGTAATATAGTTATTGTTCGACAACCAGACTAATTGAAAACAAAATTAAATAAATAAACTATTTTAAAAATATAATTTTTTACTTTATATTTAATTTGATTAATACCAAATAGATATAATAATTGAGCAATTAATAAACAAATTGACATATTTATATGAAGAATATTACGAACAATCATTAAATCATTATCAATATCCAAACGACGTCTAATGAAAATTAGAAAAATAATAATAAAACAAAATCATGATATTCAAGATCAAGTTTAATATAGACTCAATACAGTTCCTAATGTATGTCTTGAAATACTTCGATAAACTTGAAAACAATTATTCTCGAGAATCTCATTCAAAATTATAAATAAATTTATGTAAATGTACTACATTCATAATACAGAATTATCGATCTTGTCGATTTTGAATTCATATTCAAAGTAAACTTTACATTCAATTCGGTAAAATGTAATCTTTAACTCAGATGATTATAATTTTCAAAAAAAAAAAGAAATTAATTTTTATTATTACCTCATCATTAATATAATTATCGTCAATAATAAACAGATAATCGATATTACACATCCAATTTTTGATATCAATGATAATCGATTTATATGTATATTTGTTATTGACTAAAACCAAAAAAAATAAATTTCTCATTGATTTTATTTTTCTTTAAATCAAATAAACCTTTTCAAATATATTTTGAGCATTCATTAGAACAGCAAATGTTGATAAATGATTACATGAACATATTGAATGAGTTAAATTCGATGATAATAAATAACATCCATCTGTACTCCATTGAATATCATTTCTATTAAGATATATTTATATATTCAATTTTTCTTTTATATAAACTTTTGACTCCAGAACAGAATTAGTGGCGGAGCCAGGACTTTGAGTTGAGGGGGCTCAGTAGAGCCCATCGGGTCCAAGAATTTCTGGATCCGGACCCGACCTGGACTCGGTGAATTTAATTTTTCTGGGCTCGGATCCGGACCTAGACCCGGTCGATCAAGAGTTTCAGACTCGAACCTGATAGATCATTTTTATGACAAGTCAATCACATTTTATGAGCCAAAAAATCTCATATTTTTTATAAACAAATTAAGCTTCTTTGAATCAAACGATCGAAAATTTAAAGAAATTCGTAAAATTTTATTATATGCATCAAAAGTTTTTTTGATTTGGTCCCAATGGGCAAAAAATTTCAGACCCGGATCCGATGGGCTCTAGGGCTCAGTCTCCTCTGAGGATCCTTTGAACCCCTATTGGCGAATGAAATACACGCTTTAAAAATTTTCCTGAGGGGGCTGAGTCCCTCCTGGCTCCGCTATTAAACAGGATATATTTAGGCTTGCAGCTGAAGCCTATGGTCAATGTATTATCAAAAGCGATCATTTCTCCGGTTTTCGCCATCTTATATCGTCTTACGACACCTTTTTCTTGGGCTTAGGTCATTGAGATCTCAATAATGGGCACCATTTTCATTGCAT